TAAAAGCCGTCCGGTTTCGCCGGCCGGACGGTTTTATTTTTATTTTTTTTTATTTTTTTACTTTTTGAAAAAAAATGACAGGGGCAAAATTGTCCAAGGGGGATGATAAGTAATAATAGGGGGCGGTAAATAATAAATGAGTAAAAAGAAGTGATTGAGTTAAAAATGTTTAGATTTTTTTGGATAAGTTTTATATCCAAGCATCTTCAAACGTGTAGGCCTGGAGAATGAAAGTAACGTGTCACTAAAAGTTGGTGTCTTATAAACTCGGTGGGTTGACTCAGTACTCAGTATTGAGTATGGCCTTTAATCTGCAATTTCTGGGTTCGCATTAATTGAATTTTCGCTGTCTGTTACGAATTTTGACTGTTATCGAATTTATTCTGCTTCGATTATTTATTCTCATTTTCCTCATTCTTTCTTTATGTCTCTCTCTCTTGTTAGTAGAGTTTGGGCGGCTTTGCTACAGTTTATTTCACTTTTGACCTCTTTTTGCAGTGATGGTGTTTTTTGTATGTAACAATAGCTGAAATGATAACAGTAATTGAAATAATGCAGGAACATTTCGTGAATATCTTGAATAAAATTCGCGTACGAGGAAGCATAAACGTTAGTCAGTTCAATTCAACGTAACTTTTAAATAAAATTTATATTTATGCAATAATATAATATATTTTTATTTATCATATTTTTAAAGCATGATAATTCAATATTTAAATATGTATACTTTTTGAATATGTACTATTATTTCGAATAATATGCATAAATGAATAATATGAGGTGCAACAATATGGGTTAAGGCATCTTTAATATTATTTTTTCTATTCACATCTTTAGCTCGACTCTTGAAACTAAAAAATGCAATTGGAGGCCCATATTGTTTGTATATTATTGCATATTTTGCAAGGTCAAGGTGTACAGTATAATTTATATATATTGAAAAAGAGAGGTAGATAAATTAAATGAGAAAAGTTTTAAAAAACTTGCAGTCAATCAATTTGACCTACTTAATATGGTAACCATTTTAAACATCTTAAAACAATATTGATTTTCGATTTTTTTTTTTTTGTTGAACCTCAATTTGTTATTCCTTATTTTAAGCATCATGCGCCTCTTAAAAACCAATCAATTTGAAATTGTGATTCCATATTTAAAAAAATCAAAGATTTGAATTGTGATTCCATGATTTACGTACAAATATCAACTAAAATTCCTAATAAGGGGCGGTTGTTATAACCTCATCAAAATCAATTTAATATCTTATCAAAATCAATATTTTTTATCGTTAACAATTTAAGGACTATTATCTTAACAAAAAATTTCTATATTTTACGTGATAAGATTGTTATGCAGATGTATCGCGTGTATAAAAGGTGTTCATACGCCACTTTTCTTTATCACTTCCTTCACACAACATTGTAGAGAAAATAATAGAAACAAATTTCAATATAATAGAAACTAATATCTCTTGAGGACGGAAGCTTGCAGCCGGAGAAGGTGGCTTCTATGGAAGCCGGAAATCGCTGGCTGATCTCGAATTTATTGTCGAAGAAGATGATTGGTTGCGTGACCGGAGAAGAAGGCTGGCGAGATTTCAGCGTGAGAAACTTCCGTGAAAGAAAAGAGGCTGGTTCCGTGAAAATTTATCTAATTCCATATTTTGTTCACGTGTTTTCAAGAATTCTAATTCCATATTTTGCCTTGTTCACGCTTTTTGGAGAATTCTAATATTCTTATGGCTTTGAAAATTTAGGTGGTCTTTTGAGTTTTTGCTTGCATGTTAAATTGGATAAATCATAAAACTTACCTGTTAGCAGCTGGTTTTGAATTTGTTATTGAGTTACATTATGCTTTTTATGTGAAATGATATTATTCAGCCAACAAATTCAGCTCTAAGATGCAACTGCTGTGAAGTTTAGCTTCTTNAATATGATTGTGTACAGATAAATATTATACTTTGCTTCTATTTGAAGTGTATTGATTTTGTTGTGCAGTGCACATTGGGCGATGATAAGCCTTGAACATCTAAAGCTCTTTTATATAGCTTGAAATTTGGCTAATGGATATTTTAATATATTTGGTAGCTATATAAGCCTTGAACATCTAAAGCTCTTCTACATAGCTAGAAGTTCAGGTGATTGAGATTTTAATATATTTGGTAGCTATATAAAGCTGCACTTAGCAATTGCTTTGAAGTGAAAGATTGGGGGCCAATTGAATGGAGCATCTTGGCCAAACATTTTGAGCGTCGAGGAAAATCGCCATACGCCTATCATGCAGTAAATTAACAAGATTTTACGGTTTTTGGCTATAGTTTGCTTCAATTGTATTCTTTAGAGGAAGTGTAAAAAGTGTGAGCTTAATACCTCCAATTTTTAACTAGCAGAAAATGATTACACGATTCAAGATTATGAATAACACAGTGACTTAATTATGCAACAAAAACTAAGATGATATAATTACTTTTTGGTTACATGTTTTGGTGATTCTTGAAAATTCAGGTTGTTCTATTTCTCAAGAAATTTAAATGGGATGAAAGCTAATAATATCTAGAATAGTTTATTGTTTGATCTAACATCATTGTTTTCATCTTTGGCAGCAATATATGGCACATCTAGCTTCTCAAGGACAAGTGGGTTGATTAGTCAGAAAACGTGCTTATATTAATGGTCTAATGTTGTAATTGTGCACGTTTAATTCCTCGCATTTATGCATTCTTCGACTTATTTGATATTATGATCAACTCTCGTGCTTTGATGAGCTTTTGAGTGATTTCAGTACTTTTGGAGCTATTTCTGTTGCACGATGAGGTGTGGATGCTCGGAAGAAGGACAAAGAAATTTTACCAGCGAGTATGGGGGTGTCCCGTACTGAACCAGCAAGCCCCGTACTCATGTAGGAGGCCCATGCAATTCACGATTAGAAGGCCTGGAGAAATTAATAAATTGCAGCTTGCATTTTTCGAAGAACTTAAGAATGATCCGAACATCTCAAGTGAATGCTTAGTAGCTGAACCTATTCTTCTTTCTATTCTCACAACTGGCCGTGACTGAACTCATGTCACGACATTGTATATAGCTGTTTCCCATGTCACTAATCGAAAGGGCTTGAAAATATTAGTTTATGAGGAGGATGGTATGCCTACAAGGCAAATAAAAAATAGTCTACAAATATGTTTTTAATAATATATAATATTATTTTTTATTTTGTTCAATTATTTTTTTTATTTATGAATATAATAATAAAACTTGATAAAAAGCGTTAAAATTGTCCACTTCGTGCATCGCACGAGTTCTGCACTAGTTGGTAATTATACGATGAGATCGATAATATTTGTATAATTATCAATTCAACAATCTCTTGGTTGTATTTCACTGATTGTGCACTTAAATGTTCCAGTTTTTTATACGGATCAATTTATTATATTATTACAAGGTTTAATTTTGCTTTCTTAATCTATTTAATAGAAATTGTTTGATGAAATAAGAAGAAATAAGAAAGGAAGCAGGCAGCACAAATTCTAGGGATCTTATACTCAATAATGGTTATATATGCGTGCTAATAGTCCACACTCGTGTTGTCTTTTCGAAAAAGACACTTTCTGATGATTAAAATTTAGTTTATATAGATTGACAACTGACCCTACGTACTAACCTAATTATTATTTATCACGAAAGCAACAATTTGGATTTTCTCATATTTATCTACAATTTGGTCTTAATATTTAAGGCAAAACCTTATACTTATCATTTTTGTTTTTAAATTACAAAAATATATTTAATTTTTTCACATAAAACTGTATGTATGTGTACCTACTACAAGTATAAATATATGAATTGCAGATAAATAAATAAACGACAAAAAAAAATGAAAACGAAAATTAAAAAACAGATAAATTTCAAGCAATCATATGCATGGAGAGAGGCCAGCGAGTGGCACATTTTAGGTCAAATATATTTTGAATACGCTGAGATTGACTGCTAAGAGTATCTCCAATGTCACTCTATCTATTTTGATATGTATATTGTGGAGAAAATAAATAAAAATATTTTGTCTCCAATAGTGATTGTCAAATGTATAATGATGAGAATCCTCACAAATTTTAATAATGTGGTATTATTATTATTATTATTATTATTATTATTATTATTATTATTATGTATAATGATGAGAATCCTCACAAATTTTAATAATGTGGTATTATTATTATTATTATTATTATTATTATTATTATTATTATTATTATTATTATTATTATTATTATTCGTCTGGTTCAATTATTGATCGATTTCACAAGTATATAGTGGTCCACATTGAAAAAAATGGGAAGCTTTAATTTAAATTTAGGTGTAATTGATTACAATTTATGTATAATAATTTGAGTATAGTCTGCTTTTATCTAGTTTTCAAACGAATTTATAATTTCGATTTATGTTTAAATGTGACAACATATAAGTCTATACATAATACATGCATCTGTTCAGTTTGGTGGAACAAGAAATTCGGCTTTGATTACTTACAGAAAATAGTATGGTTACGTTCACATCAAAACATGGATGTAGCAAATGAAATAATTGTTATTGCCTCTTGGCTTATATATTGTTATATTATACTTTCATATTGAAGTGAAGGATTGGTAAAATAATATAATTGAGTTTATTAAGTGAGCTCATGCACCAAACATTTGTTGGGGTTTTCAGAAATAGTAAATATGAAGTCTAACAGGCATGCTATATAATATATTTTTAAAATTGAAACATCAAACTTTAAAAATAATATAAATAAAATAGAACATGTCATAATTTAAGTATATATTTTTGTTAAATAAATTGATTTGTCTAATAGTTAGATGTTTCATACAAATATTAGTGTTTTAAAAATAATTAATCCTCATAATAAACGTTGGCCGGCTATATTCCATCTTTATTCTAATGGTTTTCAGAGATTTTTTTATTTTATTTTATTTTATAAAATTCTACCACTATTCGCTAATAAATAATTTCAATTGACGACAAAGCATTCGAACTGATAATTCTTTTTATTCTGAGTTAATTAACATTTTCGTGTCCGTGGGTATCAAGCAAATTTGATATTGTTAGCCCCATCAATAGATCGAGCCTAGTTGGAGCTTTTAATTCTTGATATCGGATTTGGATCTTTATCAGTTCAGTTCATTAGCTAATTAAACAAATAAATGAACTTGAACTCGGTTTGCTATATCACAATTAATGACCCATACTCAAAGCCAAACTCGAGCTTTAACAAACCGAGATAATGTAATAATTCAACAAATTATGTAACGAACTTGCTGTTAGCTCGTTATTAAACCAATTGAGTTGAACTCGAACCTTAACAAACCGAACCAAGCCCATAAAGCGATATTGGTCGTTTAAAGTTCTAGCTTGACGTACATGTATCTCCTATATATTGTGCAATATGGCTTTGGGCCACAATTGGGCTTTGGAATCTCATTTTCTTCTTATATTTGTATATTTTTTATAATTGTAAATATATTAACTTTTTACAGTTTACGAATGACTTAATTTTGGTTTAGATTTGTTATTGATTTTTAAATTACACTATTTTTGGGCTACTAGAGAAACCCAGATTTTCTCTACAATTAAGTGAAGTGGGCCAAATAAGAATCAATGGAATGGGCCTCGTTCCTTCTAGCCCCATTACCGATTTTCATTTCTCTTCCTCTGAAGTGAATTTCGAAGTTCCCGCGTTTCCTCGCATTAATACCGCCTCACTCAGTCTCCACTCTCCACACTCCAAATAATCAATTGAAACCTAAAAGCCTAAAATTGGCCATTGCTGAAATTTCCGGCGAACCCTCATCCACCACTGCCGCGCCGACGGGGACGTTTCCGGCGCCGTCGAGCCCAACTCGCTCAGCATACTATGGTCCAATCGATGGTACCACATTTTCCTAATCACCTGCCTCGTCCTGCTTTTCATCGACCCACTCTACTTTTAGCTGCCCTACGCCGTCGACGGCGCCACGTGTATGTCCGTCGGCGACCACGCCTCTGCTACGATGACGGTGTTCGATTTCATCTACCTCGTGCATATGTTAATGTAAATTCCAGATGGCGTTTGGGGGAGCTCATGATGTATAATGTTGGAATAGGAAGAGGTATCTCAGCTCAGGTCGGATTTCGTTGGTGATCTAACGGCCACGATCCTTTTGCCTCAGGTAGATTCAATCCGATCAGAGCCGATCATGATTATTGATTTTTGATTTATTGTGTTTTTTTCGCCAGATCTCAACAAAGTTTGTTGTTATTAATTTTCTAGATACTGTGTAAATGCAATGCCAGGCTTAGAGGAACTATGCAGTCCAAAATATACGAACAATTTTAGTCATTTTGTTGGTCTTGTGGTTAATAAACTGGATGAGTTCTGGGGAAAGTGGGAGATTTTGTCCGAGTTATCTGAGGAGCATGTACACTTTTGGCTGATTAACTGAGTGTTCTGTATTGTTACAATATTTAGAATTTCCCCGTCAAATAATTTGTCATCTGGTACGTAATTCTGGCAGCATAAACAAATGGCACTGGTCAGTCTATTCTCCAGTATATTCTCACATTATTTGTCATTTTCCTCTCCAAACAACTGATAAAAAAACAACCGGCTTTATTGCTAAGACTGCTTGGGCTGGAGCTGCATATAACTTGCTACTTTACATGCTGGCTAGCCATGTATAGAATTGAAACGAAAATCTATGTTTTCTGATATATATGTAGTCTCCCTTTTTGCTTGTGGTTAATATATATACCCCGTACGTAAGGGAGCTTCATGGTATCTGGCATTCATAGGACAATGACAATTCTGATTTTAAGTTCAGGATGTTTGTCGATGCTTTTACTAGTATCTTTCTGCCTCTGGTAAGGCTTGAGAAAGTTGAGGTGATGATAATTGTGTTTTTACATTTGTTCATCTGTTGGTTTCCCTTTCACATGTATGAAGAAAAAAAAAAAAAGAATATAAGATTTTAGGAAATTGTTCAATGTAGACTTTATGTGCATTACTTATGCTGATGTAGCTTATAACTTTTTTGCAGTTCATATGGACATAATCTAACCACGAGCACATACATAGGCGAGACATCATCATTCTGCATCAGCTTGTGTATATTCGGTCTCATTCTATTTTCACAGCTTATTGGCAATATGCAGCAGGTACTGCTATATATTCTTTTAAGCTTTAACATCACCATTTTGCACTTATTTCTGGATCACTTTCTTAGTTCATATGCTCTGCATGCAATAAAGGTGTGTGTACCTGTGAGATTGGAAAGTGAAGAATGACCATTATTACAATTCGAGTATCATCTTTTTTCTGGCTAGCACTTTTTAATTACCATCTTTTACTTGGACTCCATATACATTATTTCTTAATCAATGTGTTAGTAACTTAGTATCATCTACTCATGTGCAGACACATTATAAATGGTTTATGTTATTTCGAATATCATATTTTGGGAGATTAGCACATGAATCAAATAATCGTCTTTTCCCCTTTTTTTAAAGTTATTTAGGTTCTCGACTCAAAGGCTTATTTGATTAGTGTTTTAGCCAAAAACGTTGATTTGAAAAAAATTGATATAGGAGCGTTTTGTGAATCAAGAATTTGTAAAATATCATGTCCACGTAAAATTTCTAAAATAACTATTCAAACTATTATATATCTAACGATTATTTATAATACAATTCGCTAGTCAAATCAGTTTATATAATTCAATATCCGCTATCCACTGATATAACAAGATATTATCTTTCCCATCAGTTACTATATCCAAACACCAATGTATAACTACATTTAAGTTATCCATAAATTCAAATAAAAATATCTTTCATTTTTTTTTTAATTAATTGTAGAAAAAATTTGTTAAATTTCCATTAACTTAGTGTAATAATATATTTAAACTATTTTTTATATCATTGTTACTATTAATACTAACTACTTAATTATGAATCCACGTTAAATGGTATGTGAAGTTACATATATATATATATATGTTATATTGCAAATTTTTTTCTTCAATATATTTATCCTACAATCAATATTAACTTTTTTCATATCATTAAGCATTTTTTTCTTTAAATTTCGTTAATTAATTTTAGTTGTATAACCAAACTCCTTAAATTTGCATAAAAATTATTATAACAATATCAAAATAATTGTACTATTTTTCCAATCTAATTAATCTCATTAATTTACAAAATTTACATTATTCATTACGGTTTATGTCGTTATCATGATGATTTATAGTATGTAAGTTAGAATAATATATAATTATCTTTTTAATTTATAATTATCCATATCAAACTCGGGTAAGTGTGGATAAAACTTAAACCTTCACTTCCTAGAAATATATATTTAAATATGGAGCGGATATAGATGTAAGCTCACAAAGATTGAGTTTGATTTAATCCAAATTTGTCACCCAAGTAAATAGTATATACATCACTTAGATATTTAGATTGGAAGACAAGAAACTAGTATTCTATTCATTTTTTTTTTTTGTTTTCTTAGTTTAACTTTTTCCTTATTAATTCATGTTGGATTGGTCACAACTCCAAAATAGTTACCATATATCTATCAGACTAATCTTATCCTTAAATCTTAATACATTACTATTTGAATTGTTCTATAACTGTTCAAATTTATGTAGAAAACCAAAAAAAAATATATTTTGTAGACGCTATAATTCACGTTGTTTTAGATATTATCGTATTTTTTCCTATGCATATTATCGTATTTTTTCCTATGCATATATAGAAAGATGACTATAATGACTCAAATCATTATTAAAATGAGAAATAAAGATTCAATTGGTCTACTAATTGATTAAAAAAAATAATATTAAAACTAAAAAACACGTATTATTGGCCCAAAACCAAATGGCAGGACTCGTAAATAAGATAAAATTAAGTACCATTCCAAAATTGCGAGCCAAAACTCATGCAAAACGGACCCGCGCGTAACAATCACACACGGGTTTATCCAAAATTTTAGCACTCTCCTAATCATTAACCAATTATAAACATCAATTTTATTTGGATAATTATAATTATGTGTAATTAGTTTATACGTTGCCAACTTATGTTGGCAATATTTATTTCAAAATAATATTTTTAATAAGTACAATTCAGCATAATTTAAGTCAAAACATATTTCATTTTGAAAATTGATTAAAGTTAAAACTTTTGATTACCAATGAAAGGCATAATTAAAAGGTTTTTATACATATTATTTAAAAAAAATATTTGTTTCTAAAATTAGACAAGATAAAAAAACACTCCATTTAAATTTTCACATAGTAGTAAAATATAACGAAGTTTATCTGCTTGGGATAATAATCCTTTGCCGTCGTATCAGCGTGCATATATTGAATTATCCTATTGTATCTAAATCTAAATGGGATTAAATTGAGTTCTGTTAGCATTGAAACTCAGTAGTCGCAATCCGCATCAAACGCGTGCGATATATGTACTATATATACACACGCTGCACATCAAGCTTTTCGTACTCTACAACTTCCATCGTCCGCCATTAACGCTCTACTTTCTCTCTCTACAGAGATTAATATCTCTCTGTTTTTTTCTTTTTGGTTAAGTTTCTGAAAAAGCTTGAAGTAGCGAAGATGGTGTCGCAGTCAATAATTCGCAATGTCGTCGGGATTATCGGTTTGTGCTTCGTGTTCTCTCTACTTCGTCGTTTTTCGCCGCTTGATTTTTCTGTACATGCATATTGATCTGTTCATGAGTTGTACTTTATTTTTTTTTTTGCATATTTGTTATCTTATGCGCTTGTGTCGGTTATTTATTGTTTTCCGTGAATTTTTCCTGTTTGTACTGTATGGGGACTCCATTGATTTGATTTCATGAGTATTGATAGCTGCTGAATGGGAGATTGATTTGAGTTTGATTTCGCTCATGAATCACCATGATATGCCCTTTCTCCGTAACGGTTATGGATTGTCATTATTATTTTTTCTGGTTATTTTTGAAAGCAGAAATCGTATGTTCACTTTATCCTGATCTTTCTCAACTACTGAATATTATCTGTAGGATAATAGAATTAGATTTTAAATTTCTGATTGATACCTTGCTGAGACATATAGAATAAACTTAATCCTCTGAGTTTTGTTTCGGTGCTTTTGAATGTGGTTAACTGCAGAGATCCAATGCTTCATTTGATTTATTTTTTTTTATTTTTGCAGGGAATGTCATCTCATTCTTCTTGTTTCTGTCTCCAGTGTATGTATCTCTCTCTCTCTCTCTCTTACGCACACACACACACACATAACGAGTTATCTACGCTTCATGTTGTCAAATATAGAAAAACAACTTTACTAGAATTACTATTGTGTCATATGGAATTATAGAACCAGAACAGTAACTAAATCAAATGATGAAACTGTAAAAGTGTGTGTAACTGAATCTTTTTTTTTCAATAATTCATGCTAGCACAAAATTTCTGATCATTCATTGAGGCACAGAAGAACACAAAAAGCATTGGGTAGCTACAATGGGTGATATATTGAGATGTTATACTTTGCAGGCCAACTTACAAGAGAATCTGTAAGAAAAAGACCACTGAGGAGTTCCACCCTTGGCCATATCTAGCCACTACCATGAACTGTATATTCTGGATCTTCTACGGCATACCAATTGTCCACCCTGATAGCACTCTTGTGGTAACAATCAATGGCGTCGGGCTTGGCCTGGAGATAATCTATCTCACCATTTTCTTCTACTACACCAACTCTAAGAACAGAGTAAAGTGACTTAAACCCAGCTCGATTAGTTTACTGTTTTTCTAGTTTGTATTGCTGTGCAATTGGTAATTTAGAATCTATTTCTAATGCATTTTTCTATTGTCTACTCTAATGTATATCTGTCAGAGGACTATACTCCTCGTCCTTTTTGCGGAGATTGTGCTGCTTGCTATTATTGCTGTCATCACGCTCGTCTGCTTCCACACCCACAACGCAAGGTCCATGTTCGTGGGGATTGTCTGCATCATTTTCGGGACCCTCATGTACTTCTCCCCTTTATCCATCATGGTAAGTATTCACTCAGTGTCATTGATATATATATAGAGAAATATGTATATGTTTATACTAATCTGTTATTGCATTCTATTCGTTTTGGGCTAATTCAAATGAATGAACTCTTAACAGTGGACAGTTTGGAAAACAAAAAGTGCCGAGTTCTTGCCGTTTTGGCTCTGTTTTGCCGGTTTCTGTAACGGTGTCTGCTGGTTCTCTTATGCCTTCCTCAAGAAATTCGACCCGTACCTTGCTGTAAGTTCATTCTTGTTACTTATTAGTTTCCTTGCATTAATCTACCTTTTTTTTTTTGTATTTGTTTTTATGTTATAGGATATTGGGATAATTCTTTTTTTGACAATTATTTTTATCTTTGGTTGGTGTAGATTACAAATGGGCTTGGGGGGCTGTTTGGCTTATTCCAGATTATTGTCTATGCTTACTACACCTTAAGAGCGAAGAGTAACAAGGGGTCATCAGTAGGAGATGGTGCTAAGACAAGTGATGAGCAGCTCAAGAAGAACTACATGGCATCACCAGCTTGATCTTTTTCCCTTTTCTTAGAGGAAGTCATTTTGCTAAGGAATTTGCTATTTCCAAGAGATCAGCATATAATAGTTTAGCAGTAATTAGTAAATAGAATTGCTTCTCCTTTTTTTTTCCCTTTGCTTTTTCTTTTTTTTTTTCCTTTTTTTTATGTTAACTTGATTAGGTATATGCTGAATTTTGGGACCTATTTTCTTTATGAAAGTTTAATGAAATTGTCTATGAAGTTTCATTAATGTGTTTCAATTTTCCGGTTTACTGTTTCTGATCAGATTTGGAAATGTTTGCAATATCTTATATATACTTAAGTCTGGTCACGATATGTCTGGCTATATAATACGTGTGGTTTTATATGATGCGTAATATTTCTGGCTAGATCATTAAGTGTATAAGAAAAATATCTAGTATCTTACTCTAGAAATGGCATCGAACTATCTTGGTACGAGATCTTAGTGAGATTGATTATCAAATATTGTGGAATGCTTCTGATTTTCTGCAAGAGCCGTTTCGATGAGCACACATGTATTTCACGTTTTCCGGATTGATTATCAAATATTGTGGAATGCTTCTGATTTTCTGCAAGAGCCGTTTCGATGAGCACACATGTATTTCACGTTTTCCGCATTTTGACTTTTGACAGTTAACAAATTGTTTCACTTACTATTAAATTTGTATTTATAAGTTAAAAGGTTATGTCTGGTAACTAGATAAACTAGTTTATAATTAATTTGGTTGACTTATTTTATATTTTTAAATAAGCTTCATTTTGTAAGATTGAGTAATTTTAAAAAAACTCGAACTTATCTCATAAGCTTTTGTGTGTAACTTTTTAAATAAACTCGTTTAAATTTTTATTTCACTTAGTTTATCAACTAATTTTACCAAATATTTTTATCATATAAACTAGTTTTTTAGTATAAGTAATAAGCTATAAACAACTATCTTATTTTACCAAATATACTCATAATATTTTTCTTAAAAGATATAGACTTGTATATTTGTGCTCTCTTTTTTAAGAAAAAAGGACAAACTATTTGCCATTATCTCTTGCTTTTGTTATTGATCTCACAACAATTATTTTTAATAGAAAAAGGGCAACTCTTTGCCATTATTACTACTTGAAAGATGTATCTTGTGCTCTCTTTTTTAAGAAAATGGGAGAACTATTTGCCATTATCTCTTGCTTTCGTTATTGTCTTATTGATATCACAACAATTATTTCTTAATAGAAAAAGAGCAACTCTTTGCCATTATTACTCGAAAGATGTTATGCTTTTATATTCTGTGCTTTCTTTTTTAAGAAAATGGGCAAACTGCCATTATTTCTTGCTTTCGTTATTGATCTCACACCAATTATTTTTTTATAGAAAAAGGGCAACTCTTTGCCATTATTACCTATTAATTTTTTATTTCTTATTTTTGAAATTTATGATTTATCAGACATCAAGAAAATGCATAATTTCCCCATTCCATGAAACTCAACCAATTTTGGTAACTAAAACTAAAAAGGAAACAAAGGCCCAACACGATTTGCCAGCATTAAACACAGCCCATTTTCTAAGCCCATATCATCAAAAGTCCAATTATAGAATCAGGATTTTGAAGATCATCTTATCCAGTGTGTGAGGTTGACTGAAAGCACCCAGCTTCAATTCTCCACCCACTCGTGGTTGTGGGTCGCATTTTGGCATTCTTTATTAGATTTTTTTCCTTTCCCCACAGAACCTTATCTGCTCTTTCAATCTTCTTTCTCTTATCCCAATGCTGCTATATCTCAGCTAAACAGTAAAAATTGCTCAAGCTTTTCGTCAATGGCGGACATTGTTTCGTGCCACCACAGCTGCTCCTTTTCACCATTGACAAAATATGGTAATCGCCGGCACCCATCGAATCGCATCGAGCTATCAAATCTCCATAATCCTTCCAGCCACCAGTTTAAGCCTTTGCGCTCCTCTGAAAAGTCAACTTCATATGAGCACGTAGGTGATCAGGCAAGTCATCTCTGTGTGTGTGTGTGTGTGTGTTTTCTGATTGTTTTGAACCGATTATATTCAGCTTGTTCTCTCTCTTTCTCTCTCTCAATTTTCTGCAATTAGTGTCCTGGTGAATTGAATGTTGATCTGGTTTTTGAAATATCCATCGTTCTAATCGTTGAACAGAGAAATTGGTTTTCATCGATGAAGAAAAGCGCGATTTCAATGGCGTTGGCAGTTGGATTGGTCACGGGATTTCCTGATTTGGGATATTTAGGAGAAGCCAATGCAGCTAACATTGCTCCATCACTACCAGATGTATCGGTTTTGATTTCAGGGCCACCGATTAAAGATCCCGGGGCATTGTTGAGATATGCATTGCCTATCGACAACAAAGCTATCAGGGAAGTTCAGAAGCCGCTCGAGAATATTACCGAAAGTCTGAAGATTGCTGGCGTCAAAGCCCTTGATTCTGTTGAGAGGGTGAGGAGAAACCGTAGTTAGTTTACTGATAGTATCTTCATTTACGTCATTCACTTTAATGGTGAGTTTGGTAAGCATATAAGGTAGCTTATAGCTTATTTGATTAGCTTATATGCTTCATGTATTCAAATAAGCTTCGTTTGGTAGGACAAGCCTTTATAAAAACTGGAGCTTGGAGCTTATCGCGTAAGCTTATTTAGGTAGCTTTTCAAATAAGCCCATTGAAATTTTTATTCAACTATTTTTTCAGCCATAAATCATAAGCTATCAGTTATAAACTTGAAATTCACTTAAAGCTACAAGTTAGCTTATCTCAGCTAGATTTACCAAACATATTCGAAAAAACATTTTGATTTGAATATGTGTGTTGATGTTTGACTCTCTTTGTTGCGTGTGCTTGAGTTGTAGAATGTTAGGCAGGCTTCGAAGGCTCTCCAGAAAGGCAAGACTTTGATTGTTGGAGGCCTTGCAAAGTCAAAGGCCGATGATGGGATTGCATTGCTTGACAAATTGGAATCGGGATTGGGTGAGCTTCAAAAGATTGTGGAGGATAGAAATCGTGATGCGGTTTTACCTAAGCAGAAGGAACTACTTAACTATGTTGGAGGGTGAGTACGGACAACTATTGTTTTTTAACTAAAAAAAAAAGGTACTGAAATTGCAAACTATAGTTGGTACGGTTTTGCATGCTGTTGGGGTTACTGACTTTTTTCATTTAAGCTGCGATCAGGGTAGATCATCGAAGCACGGACTTTCATATTGTCTATAAATAACACCGTGGCTCATGAATGATGAAGAACTCTCCTGTTGATGTGCTAATTTTTCTTTAAGCCTAGGAAATGGGACAAACGAAAGAAAAAAAAAAACGAAAGAAAAAAAAAAAAAAAAGTCTTCGTAAAATATGCTTTGTCTCATTTAAGCCCTTGTCATTGACTGCAGCTGAGATCTTCCTGGGGCATTGGGTTTCTGCAGTGTTGAAGAGGACATGGTTGATGGCTTTCCTTATGAAGTGCCTGAAGAATACAAAAACATGCCGTTGCTAAAGGGGAGAGCAACTGTGGATATGAAAGTCAAGGTCAAGGACAATCCTAACCTGAATGATTGCGTATTTCGTATAGTTTTGGACGGTTATAATGCTCCTGTCACTGCTGGGAATTTTGTGGATTTGGTAGAAAGACACTTCTATGATGGCATGGAGATACAAAGAGGTGCATTGCTTGAAGAGAGTTATTTTATTATATATCTATGATAGTACCATTCCTGAACAGAGTTTTCTTATTGATTTTTACTTCAAAAAACACTTATAGATTTTTTTAATGGGTTTTTTTTTTTCAGCTGATGGCTTTGTGGTACAAACGGGAGATCCCGAAGGACCTGCTGAGGGGTTTATTGATCCTAGCACAGAAAAAACCCGCACAATCCCGTTGGAAATTATGGTGAATGGAGAAAAAGCACCTTTCTATGGGGAAACTCTGGAAGTAAGTCAGTAAGCAACCATTATAAATCACCTACAGAGACAAGCTTTTGTGTGTCCTTTCATTCCCATTTCTCATTTGTCTTGACGCTCTACGCAATCTCCTAAAAATAGTAAATGAATGGCTTAAAACCTGTGGTTTGCCAATCTATTTCGTCTGGCAAATTATATTGAAAATTCGAATTTGTTTCCTCCCAAATTTAACTTAATAGTATTCTTCCAGGAGCTTGGTCTGTACAAGGCTCAAACAAGGCTTCCGTTTAATGCATTTGGAACCATGGCTATGGCTCGAGAGGTGAAGATTCTGAACTTGGAGTACTGATACTATGAATCAACTTGGTCTTGTATTACAAATATTTATGGACTAATATATACTCTTTTATAATCTCAGGAATTCGAGAACAATTCTGCCTCAAGCCAAGTGTTTTGGCTTTTGAAAGAAAGTGAACTCACTCCTAGCAATGCCAACATACTGGATGGCCGCTATGCAGTATTCGGTTACGTGACAGAAAATGAAGATTTCTTGGCAGACCTAAAAGTTGGAGATGTTATAGAGTCTATCCAAGTTGTAGCAGGTTTGGATAATCTTGTTAATCCAAGCTACAAAATTGCTGGTTAGATACCTAGGGGTTTGGGGCCCCTGGTTTAAGGAGAGAGATTTCAAATTCTTTGTATTACATTATGTTGTGTTTTGTATCACTAATAAAAGATCATTGAGAACTGGAATTTAGTAGAGATTTCAAATTCTTCACGTTTTTGTGAAGTCCTTACCTCTTGCATACTTTGACAAAATTGTTTGTTTCTAAAGAAGCTTGCTCTCTCTGGTTCTACACACTTCACTTCACTTCATTGGCTTACTAAAACTCAAATTAGGTCAAGGTAAATAATGTAATGGCTATGTTTGGTAAAACTAGCTGATAAGTTAGCTTATAACTTATAAGTGATATTCGAGCTTATAATTTATAAGCTTATGACTTCTAGTTGAAAAACTAGCTTATATGATAAAAGTGTTTGGTAAAATTAACTGATAAGTTATAAGTTAGCTGAAGTAAAAATTTCAACGAGCTTATTTGAAATGCTACCCAAAGAAGCTCATGAGATAAGCTCGAGCTTTTTAAAAAAATTAGTCAAATTTATTTGAATGCAAAAAACTTATAAGTTAGCTTATTTGGTTACCAAACATAGCCAACAACTTCAGATCTGAAGAATGCTTGAATAGATACATATATATTGAGCTCAAAAACCTCTCAACTTCAGACTAGTTAAATACTGACTTCTACTTTCAATACCGTATCTTTTAGAAATCGACCGGTCAGCTTTGGGTCAATGTGGACTCTACTTCTCAAGACCCTCAATGCCTGCGGAAGCTGAAACATCCTCGATGCTTGTTAGGAGTTACCATACCTCCTCCTTTAGTTGTGTCAATGGCTTCTAACATGGAAACAACATCTTCCATTTCGGGCCTCCTCTCAGAAATGGGGTCCCAACATCGTTTCATTACATTTGCAAGAGAGCTTGGGCAGCATCGAGGTATCTCAGGTCTCAGATTCTGCAAGAAGACAGCAAAATTTGTCGTTATTTTATTTTATTTTATTTTTTTCGAAAAGTCAAATCCATTGGGTGTATGTTAGCAATTATTCGGGATTCGAGGGTGGTTTTGGAAATTAAAATCCCGAATTAACTGATACCTGGCGAACTACGGCTGAAGTCAATTCGGAGAAGCTGAGGTTTGGATACGGCATCTCACAGCAATAAATCTCCCAGAGGCAGACACCAAAACTATACACATCACATTTCCTATTGTAAGGGTTACCATTGAGGACCTGTTATATATTCAACAAAGACAAAAGACAATGAATAATATCCCCCAAAAGATGACACTCAAGCCACAGATTGGATTCATTCATATTCGAGTAAATTAATACCTCAGGTGCCATGTAACCAAGTGTCCCAGTCTCGCCGGTCATTTCATTGGGGTTCGAGGACTCATCACGAGCAACCCCAAAATCAGCTATTTTTACGGTCCGATTCTTGTCAAGAAGCATGCTCTCTGTTTTCACATCCCTGTGTACAATCTTTCTGGAGTGAAGATAGCTTAGCCTGCAAAAATGTTGACATAGGTAGGTAGCCTATTAATCCACATCACAAAACGAGTTAACTACACATGGATCCCACAGCAGAAGACGATCCAAATAAAATGCAACTAAATTCGAATCTACATATGGCTTTGGCTTTACCCTCGTGCAAGATCCAAAGCTAGTTGGATGACAATGTTAAGAGCGAGTTTTTTTCTACAGTTTCGTATGAGGAAACTCTTTAGAGTACCTCCAGCTAGGTACTCAACCACAACACAACAAACACTACGCGGCATCCCAAAATGCCCATTGTTGTCTTTCTGTATGTTCACCTCCGACATGCCCATTATAGCTCCTATGAACTGCAAAGGAATCAAAACAATCTCACTAGAGAAAAGCCAAAGAAAAAAGAGGAAAAAGCCTTTAACACACATGTCACGATAACAACATGGACAGCAAAATGCAAGAAGGGAAAGAACAACTAACCATTTGCCGAAGAAAGCTAAAGGATGTGTGGATCAGTAAAAATTACCTTGGTTACATTAGGATGATTAAGCTTGTGCCATACAGAAACTTCTTGGGCAAAAGCTGCTGTAAGCGAATCCATTTCCGCCTGATTCCTGTGTCCGTCTTCACCCCGGTCCAGAATTTTTACTGAAGCAGGGAAGAGAAATAGTATAATTTGTTACTCCTTGCAAATTCAAAATCCTGATAAGCTGAAATCAATCAAAAATTGATCGTGGATGGATCTGAATCAAACAAAAGATAACTTCAAAATTCAACTCAATCGACAAGCATCTAAAATTTCACCTAATAATAATACACAACAGCTTAAAGCCAGCAGCCCTTTAATCTAGAGAATTAGCCAACAAGCCAAGTTTAACAGCTATTGAACACCCTGAAAATATATTCATGCCCAGAAGAAAACGAAAAAAAAAATTATATAACAATTTAATCACACGAACTTTCAATTAGTAAAGAAATCTGAAATTTTATGATTTCATGAAATATACCAGCAACATCTTGTCCATCGTAGATGCCGCGATGAACGGTCCCGAAAGAGCCACGCGCGATGACGGACTTGATTACGAGCTTTGAGGCGTCGATTTCCCACGCATGCCTGACCGGAATCTCCCTCATCTCCTCCTCTCGTTGATTTTCTCTATTTTCTTCTTGTTTCTTCTTCTCTAATGTCAGAGCTCGGCTGAGATGCTTCCGGTGAAGCTGCTCGTCGAGGCTCTTCAGATCTATCCGATCCGCCCTAACGTAGTTATCTTCGCCGCCGCCGCTGACACCGATATCCTGCGCCATTTCCGGCCACTCGACGGTCAGTGAGGTTTGTCAAATTTTACTATTAAAAGTGAAGTGAAGGGGAAGACGAATGAGCAGCAGCTGTCGCTGTCTGGGAATAATTATCTGATTATTAGATTTGGAGCTAATTTTTGTTGGGTTAAGTCAGTCAGTCTAATGATACATACAATTTACACGTTCTGATTTAATTTATTTTATATGATGGGAATAAATGAAGCGTAAAGTGTACTATAATACAAGACCAATGATGCTTTTAGCGAGTATAAATGTATAATTATTAAACATCATATCAGTTATACTTGATATAAGCAAGAATTTATACTTGATATAAGTAAGAATATTTATATCATAAACTATCAAATAATTTCATTTTTGTTGTATTATGACATGATTTTTGAATATAAAGGTAAATATTTATTTGAAACAACATGATTGAGTAACAGTTATTTCTAAGCACATATTTAAATGCAATGCTTCAATGTTGATTCAATTTTTAATTTCTTTATCCTGCATTTTCAATACATGCAGCATGTTCAAATAAATAAGTGTGTAAGAATATACTACACATTTGATTCAATATTTTATTCCTGTATTTTAAGACATGCTTCATATTCGAGCACTCATAGTGAAATTGTTCTCATTTGTGAATTCCTCAAAGAAACTGTTCTTTACATGACATTCAGCAAAATGCAATTGGAATGTTTTACTGGATTAGCTAATGTAAAATTATGTCTTATATGAGGAAAATTATGTTATCCGCAGACTAACAGAAAACAATTATATCCGTCGTTTTTTCTTCTCTGGTGTGGCGTGTACTTGCGCTTTGATCCCATATGTCTTCAACTGAAAATTCTCAAAAGCATCAGAAATCACTCCAATCTGCAAAAGCATTAAAAGTTAGACATTACGATTTACGATGAAACCAAAGGAAATCAAATTTATTTGATGGCTGAGTTAAGAGCAGACCAGTTCAGGCCTTTTAGAGTACACTCGCACAATCATGTCCTGGTAAGATGTTGGAAGTAGGTGGCTCACACGATTATCAGTTATAGAGAACTTATCCTCACTACCATAATCCTGAATATGAAAATCTCAAGTAAATAAATAAATATAAATAATAAATAACAAACTGAAACATGGGATTCTTACCTGGAAAAACTTGACGCTGGACGAAGGAAAGCATGCAAAAGTGAGCAATATAAACGTTAGCCTGTCAGAATTCTAGTCATAACTATATGCACAAGAAATGTGGGATAACATAGGATAAGCACCTTTCAAGAGGATTATGCCTCCCACGAGTCAAATCAATCCGAACATTGCTAACCACGACATCCTCTTCTCTTAGTGTGACTCCACCGTTTTTCTATATATTTACGGATCACATTAAAAACTAAAAACTATTTACCAAATACCAATAACACACATCGAGTAAGTACCTGTGAGCAAACGATATCTTGCGCAGTGACATTCTTAAAATTCTCCAATTTGTCTTTTGGAACAGCATACTCATTACAAAACTTCAGAAGTGAAATAGTATGTTGTGAGCATGCCATATTTCATAATATATTCCAACGTGAAAAATAATAAAAGTGAAGACTAATAGCATCAAGTGATTGAATATGTGAAACCTGGTATAAATCTCTTCTACGAATGCGCAAGATCAAGTCCCTAGCTTCCTTGAGTTCTTGGTCAGGTGCTGTCTCGATGGTCTTGATAATAGTGTCATCTAACTGCACAAGCAAAGGAAAAAACCTCAGCAGAGCAATAAATCAATTACTTAATTACGTACAGTAAGAGAGTTACCAAACCTTCCAATATTGTGAAGGATCCTGTATGTGAGATGCTATTTGCAGATAATTATTTGCACTGACTAATGCATCTACAACCATCAGCTCTATAGCCTGAACGACCAATAGGATCATTATGGTTAAAATTGAATCAATGAAATCAGCTAGGACATTAAAACCCAATAATATATTTTCTACTCCAAGCGAAGGATAAAATATACCTTTACTTTTGCATGAGTATAAACGGTTCTGTACAAATCAGCACGTGTGGCAAACAACTTGTGGATGGTCCGATCTGGTATTATAATTGAATATTTGACAGAAAAATAATTATACCATGTGAAAAGAGTGTTCCTCGCTCGTCATTTAGATACTTACGTTCTTTGTACCGATAGCATATTTCATCTTCCATAACCCTCATACTCTGCATTAACCTGCGAGTCAAAAAAGAAATAAATCGAAATGGGGATTGTATTGCAATATCTTTCCAGGCTGCTAGTTTCCTACATCCAACTAAAACGAATTGTAAAGAAAAGCTTATAACCTTGTATACTCAAAGTTGCATCCCACACCACAGGCTCGGGAGTCGCGGATAATGTAATCAAACCTGCAACATGGGTTTTCCAAATCCAGGTCATTATATCAAAGCAGTCAGATATACTATATAGTAGAAGAAAAATAATATCCNTAACTTGTCAACATCAATGCCATTTCGACCATTTGCCACAATATCATACAGAAAACGCTTTTCCTTTGAGCTCTAGAGATTACACAAATCATATATACAATCTGAACATGTGATCTAAACAATAAAGCAGCCACAATTATCAGTACAATAGAAATCAACAAAACTGTTACGAATAAGACTTACTTTGATCATAGCATATTTCGAACTTGCAAGTATCATTTCCTGTCAACATAAAAGCTTCGGGTCAAAAGAAATAAACTCAACACCCAATAAATTTGCACATTGTAAGTATCAAGCATCAATAAGTAAATAAAACCATTTGAAAAGTAGAATCAATATCAACTAAAAAATGCCATCAACAAACCTTCACTCTGCTGATGGTCTCATTATCAATATCAATGTGATGTTCATCAACAATGTGATCCACCATCTCTACTGACATTTGCTCATGAGACCTACATCCACATTTACCACAGTTTAATGCTATTTGATAGCACAAATGATAAAGAGAACCAGATAGTACATTATGAACAAAAGAAATCAGACACTCGTAGGGTTCTTGTACATGATAATTGGCCAAAAAGTTGCAGCAGAAAAAAACTAGGACTATCGAATATAAAATTGTCGTAGCAACAGGTCCTGAAGTTGTTTCTTCTGCTTTAATTAAATTAATTACCAAACTCATCGTAAAGGGAGAAATTTCCAAGCAGGGTCTTGGGCATTTTATTCACATTATTGGACCAGATGAGTTTATCGAGGAATACACACCTTGCGAGATTTTTGGAATAATTCTAAAACACAAAAGGAAAGCCAGGTTAATATGAATGCTTATCATTCTTGTAATACAGGCACTGAATATGTCATGTGTTAGTAACCCTCACGAATTCACGCACAACAAAAGATGAAGTTTTTTACTAAAACAAGAAAGAAGAAACAATCAACACTTAAATCGCTGCGTCCAATAAATAGGCAGTCAGCTCAGCTATATTACCATTCAGATGAATTGAGAACCTTGGGAAGAAACTCACGCTCAAACAAATGACTATAAGGCCCATGACCTATGTCATGCAGAAGCCCTGTCAACAGCATAGTAGACAGTCAATGTTCATATGTGTGCAAACAGATATTCTTAAATGTAAAAGTTTTAAGGGTTTTATTTTCATCCATAGGACCTGCAAGTTTCACAGTTTGCATATCAAACTGATCAATGCCAAGCTCCGACCCCTGCAAAACGCACTTATATCTTAAAACAAAACACCGTGTATCATAACATTTTATTAGTGAATGGACATATTCATGCAGATCTCTTACTTGTTGGACTTTAAGCCTATGAACCGCTTCACCAGCCAGCCAGTAAACTCCAAGAGAATGCTCAAATCTAGAATGTACAGCTCCTGGATATACCATGTGGGCCATCCCTGAAAAAAAAATCACATCCATCATCACTATAGGTTGCTCCAGTGCCATTCTGTAAAACAAATTCTAACAAACTGAAATCCTGACAATTGTGATTATCGGAGGTTGAACACTATGAGGGTAGCCATGGATGCTTGCAAGTTGCAAGACAAAGGTCCAACCCAAATACAAGTAACAAAAGATATACGTAAGCGAGAATAAGATATGCCTGTAAACTTATGTGGTGTAAAATTTAAAATGTCAGAAAAAATTCACCTAATGCAGATAAATTAACATTAAAAAAAACAACAAATTTCTGATTTTAATCACGAAGAATGAAATGCATAATACATCAGAGCATTAGGAAATTCCACTTCCAGTAATGTATAGGAATTTCTCCATTTACAATACAGATGTCTCTAAAACACAAATAACTAACATATTCCTATAGAAATGTTTCAAGAATGAGTCATAGCAATTCTTGGAAAGGATTAGTAAGAATAAAAAGAGCCAAATTAGCACTTACCTAGTTGCTTAAGATCACGCAGCCTGTCATCATAATAGATACAATATTAGAAACTGAACATCAATAGGTGATGCAAGAAGCACCAATTTAAGACAGAAGAGTGAAACTGGAGTACTAGAAGATGCTGACGGCAACGTGATGTTTACCTCTGAAACTGCTCGGTGTCAACAAATTTCAAGACTAGCTGCAAAATAAAAAACAGAAATTCAAAAATTGCTTATCTGCACAATATATTGGATGCAATTTTTCAAGTAGTGATGGATGATAACGACCTTCATATGAAAATAAAGTTTAAATATCAATCATCGTAGATAACATCAACAGTGAAGAACCAAACACAACAAAGCTCCCAAAGATCCACATTCAGGAACATTCAATATTCCAGCAATCAGGAACCAGACAACAAACAAAAGCATCCGAATTTCAGCAAAGCAAAAACGAAACAATGATTAGAAACAGAAACAAAAACAGGAACAAAAAATTACACACAAAATCCAAACAACCACCAAAAACAGCAAAACATAAACAAAAACAACAACAATACACAGAAAACAGAGAACGAGAGATAGCATGAATAAGCAAAAGAAAACACATAACACAGAGCAAAACACACACACAGAGACATTAACGACAGCGTTACCGGATCGAGATAGATGCTGCTATGGACATTGTCATGTACATGCTTGGAGAGTCTCAAATCTTGGGAGCTCGCGAAACTGTAATTTGATGAAAACGACAACTCCTCGTTGCAAAATGCTCCCATTATCGATCTTCCGTTCGTTCCCTAAGCTATAAATTAGAAGCAGAAAAAAGTGTAATTCCACAGTAATCTGATAGGGTTTAAATATCGAATATATGGCACAAACAAAAATTAATGCCGAGCTTGTGTTTTAGGTAATTGTAGGTATTGCAATTTGGAAGCGTAGAATGGTGGGAAGGAATGTGGAGATGTGGTGGCGCTGCACTCTACCGCCAAAACACGGAGGTTTTTTCCTGTCTTTCTTTCCTACGCCCTTATTTATAAAGAAATATATTTATTTAAAGAAAAATGCTACAAATACATCATAAATATACATAAAACTGTATAACACTCACATGGAGTAGGGTTCACTTATTTTTTTTTTGTGAGTAATGTGAGTGTTATGTACACTCATATGTACAATATTATGTACCTATAACATTTCTCTTTTTTATAGTACAAGCATGTATACATATTAAAAAAAACGTATGACAAGTCGACTTGTCTAATAGTTAAGTCGTCTCATACAATAATTTGTGTTATTTTACTGGGTTTCCGAGACTACACAAAGCAGTAAAAACTATATATATTCCACATCAGTCACATAACCAACAACTATAAGGGCATCCGCATTGAGGCGTTTGTTTAAGTCGCTTAAATGGCAAGTGGCGTTTAATAGGAATGCAGTCATCCATTAAATGGTGGGTCCTCCTTGTGCGTTCAAGCAGCTGAATATATATATTTTTTTAAAATCAATTTTTATTTTATATTATTTTCTTTTCTTTTATAATAATCTACTTTTGTGGAGGATGAGTCCCATATGTTTGTATTTAAATGAATAATTGAATATAGATGTGTGTTTAATGGAGAGATATTTAGTGGAAAGATGACGTGGAGATGATGTGAATGAGAGATAATGTAAATTGTGATTGAATGAATGTTAAGGGATGTAGATGCCCTAATAGCACATAACACATATGATTTGATAAATTAATTAGTAAACCATTGTACCTGATACTTTGAAGCTATCTCATTAATAACTAACTAAAATATACGAACTCTTGACAAAATGGATTAATCCATATTTTGCTAGAGACTCATATTCACATACTAATATAGACTACAACTATAAAAAATGAAAACGAAAAATTAAACAAAAGGCGATATTCTAAAGTCTAACTTATTATTAAGAATGATAAATCATAAATGTAGGATGTATCGAGAGCAAGGCTCTGCCCAACCCTAGAACTAGTAGAACTCTTTGGAATTTGTTATCCAACTAAAACTAAATTCAATTATGTTAAAACAAATATCCTTTTATTTGTTTAGATATTTCATATTAACAAATTGACTATGAGATTCAGTTGATGAATAAAGTATTTAATAAATAGTAAAAAATTAATTTTGTTATGTTAGTACTCATTTTTTTTAATAATCTTGATTGTTCGGGTTTTTTATTTTCTTTGTTAGAATTAACAACTAATCAAACAAGCTTAAATATATAAGTGAATTAGTAGATTTTATGAGTCGTAGGACATTTTATATGCGACCATTTATATAATACTATTACTGAACGATAGAACAATTAACCTTTTAATTATAATTAAAGATGTTTATATTATTGAAATATAGAATTTTATATAAAATGTAAGTAAACTAGTGTATAAATATCCTTAAAACTTTAAATATAGTATCTTTATATACATATAGTATCATACTCGCGTCTCATGTGGACCTCATTTCATGTGAGTGTTATGTACACAGTATATTTATTATGTACTTGTAACATTTTTCATAAAAAAATCAATACTTTTGTTTATGTTAATTTTTAGAATGATATTTCACGTTAAATAGCTGTTAAAAAAGTATGGATGTTTAACCAACAAGGGCCTTACCATTAAATAATATAACATGGAAAAATGCTACAGTCCAAACAATTCTTTTATATAAAATTCTAATAAGAAACTGCTTAACTACATCAATTCCTTTATATAATATTCTAATAAGAAACTGCTACATGCTTTTGCTTAACTACATCTAGAAGTCCATATCAAAACTAAAAAATCTAATGGTTTTAGTTGAATTGAGGGAACCATTAGCTACACATTCATTCTGGCAAATCCCTTTTAGAAAAATATTACTGAATGAAGTCCAGATAACATAATCCTTGTACTTACTACTCAAATCACACAGTGCAAGTCATTTATTCAGTACCAATTTTAAAGTACACTCAATAACACCGAGTTCGCGCATAGTTACTGCGACTACTTACAAAGGTAAAGACTTCCAAAAGCGAAAAACAAGTTTTCTTTATTCAGACACCACGAATGTTACAACACTCATAGGCCACCATAGTCGAACACTCATCCAAGCACGTTTAACGATACTGGCTAGCAAGCTCTCCATCCTTGACAATGTAATTCTGAGGAGGAAAATCCTGGCCCTTGAAGTACCTATCCAGCATGTCCTTAGTTCCAGCCGCATAACGCAACTACAAAACACGATTGATTTTTTATTTTTTTTTTTCAAATGAACGAGCGAATAATAGTACATTCTCTTACTTTTTCGCCGAGGTAATAAACAACATAGAGTTTTGTTTATATACCTGTGCATCGATAGTTGTACCAGAGATATGTGGGGTCATAGCTTGGTTCGGCATGTAACGCCAAGGGTGGTCCTTTGGGGCTGGCTGTGGGTACCAAACATCTCCACTGTAACCTAAATTGCACAATTTTAACACACAAATCATTAGCATGGAACAAAAATAATAAAATTTGTTATTTGGACTTCTTCAAAACGTTCATATTCAAGTTTGGGGTGTATTCGTTTGAGATTTATGAAGACTTTCAAAGACTTATGTATTAAATTTAGGCTTTTTAAGACTTGTAAAAGTCACAGAGGTATTCATTTTGAGATTTTAAAAAGTCTTACAAAATCTTAAGTTATTTAACTTATTTGAGACTATGATATTTGTTAAGACTTTTTAAGATCTTGTTGGAGTTCGAAAGAAAAAAACTTTATACGAAATCTCACCTCTTTCATAGATTCCTCATAAATCTGAAAATCTTAAAAAGTCCCAAAATGTCGCTCTAAATCCTAAACGAACACACTACCCTAAATAATCAAACACCAACTGCTTGGTTATGCAAGGCCGAGTTTATTTGATGCATTTTGATGACTTACCGGCAATATGCCCACTGGAACAAGCATCAACCACTGCTTGTGTGTCCATGATTGCTCCTCTAGCATTGTTCACAATCAGAACTCCCTTTTTCAGCTTAGCAATCCTTTCTCTATCAAACATCCCCCTTTTTTTTCAAAAAAAAAAAAATAACCCACATGTCATGATAAGCCGCCAAATCAGACAACATTTCACCGCTAAAATCAAATATTACCACAAACTTACTTAGTTTTCTCAGTCAGAGGCGTGTTGATGACAATTATGTCGCACTTTGGAAGCATCACATCAAGATCCTCCTCAAACCGGGCCCCGATCTGACCCTCCAGCTCAGCATCCATCTTTACTCGATCATGGTACAGCAAGTTACAGTTGAAGGGCTTCAGCCTCTGGAGCAAAAGCCGGCCAATTCTCCCAGCTCCAACCGTGCCCACAGTCTTACCTTCGAGATCATACGCCCGATAAGCAATGGCCGCCACATTCCAGTCACTGGAGACGACCTGATGATAACCTGGCAAGAAATTGCGGACGAGTATAAGGATTCTCATGAGCTCGTCTTCAGCCACAGAGACGACATTGCTGCCGGTGACCTCCGCCACCGTGATTCCTGCGGCAGCTGCCGCCGGCAGGTCGATGTGGTCGGAGCCGATTCCGGCGGTGAGAAGAAGTTGCAAGTTTTTAGCCCTTTTGATGCGTTCGGCCGTCACGTAGGCCGGGTGGAAAGGGGTCGTGATCAGCACGTGGAGGTCGGGTATGTGTTTCTCGAGCTCTGCAATGAGAATTTTTCGAGAATTTCGAGGTTATAGCCATAACTTATGGCTTATGGCCGAAAAACAAGTTTACATAAAAAAAGTGTTTGGTAAAATTAGCTGATAAGCTAGCTGAAATGCAGATTTTCAATGGGCTAATTTGAAAAGCTACCCAAGGAATTATGAGATAAGCTTGAGGTTTTTTAAAAAACTCGTTTTACCAAACCGAGCTTATTTGAATACAGAAAGCTTATAAGCTAACTTACATGCTTACCAAACACAGCCTTGCAGAACAAGTACAAGAAATGAATATGCCTTTTGAATGATCCTACCAGTGTTAATTCCATTCTACACAAGTATTAGTTAATCTCGTTCGAATGCAAACAGTACTATTTCCACTATTAAACTTGTTCGGATACATAAGTTATGTTTTCTTATTCGTGTTAGTTAATCTATGTCGACCGCAGACAGATTTTCCTCCTCTCATTGGTTGAACATAATATGTTTGCATACTTCATATTATACTCGTGATGATGCTCTAACGTTAATTTGGTTACCGGAATCTGGTCCATCTTTGTCTGGAGTAACGATATAGTTGTGTCCTTGAGATTCCAACCACTCGCGAATGCCTAATGCATTTTCGGCACAGCCTAGAAAGTTCGGATTCATCGAGGCATACTTGTTCGCCTTGTAGAACACACCCACAATCTTCTTGCTTCCTGGTGAAGCCTATTTGTGCATGAAGAAAACAAAATTATTACAAAGCATCAAGCCATATCAAACATTACAGCAATGATGTACAAGGCTAGTTTGAGTTATCAAGATTTTACTACAAGTGTATTGAAGCACATTTAATCAGCTGTTTCATAACTTTGAGAAACTAGACTTTATTGGCAAAGATGTGTTGAATGATTAAGAATCCAAGATATCTAATTAATGTATAAATAATAATATAACACACAATAATCTAATTCAGCTAATGCCTCTATGAACAAGAGATCTGGGCCCACTTAAGAGTGACGCATCATTGACCAAATTGACCACAAAGCCGCCACGTGACAATAAGACAAAACATGGTGCAGACACTTTGCGTGACCCGTGTTGAAATTGGTTACTTTCCTTTCCGATGAACAACAATCGTTACACTCTATGCAATTTCTTCATTTTTTCCTCAGGAAAGGTAATAATTAATTTATTATTTCCACAAAAAAAATGGAAAAATAAATAAAAGGAAATCACAGCTTAATCAGCAAAACTTGATCGGCCAATTTAAAACAAACGGGACAAAAATGAAATTTTCACCTTCGGAGAGCTGAAATTCGTATGCAATACAGGGAATTCGTTTTTTCCGGGAAAATTGAAGCTTACATGAAGGTGCCTGGCTTGTGAAGAAGTCCCCGAAGAAGTAATTGCACGAACTGCAGAGGCAGCAACACGCTTCATCGCCATCTTAACTTACGGAGCTCCGAAAGTGAGGAAAGAGATCTGGTGTACAGAGAGGGGCTGGAGAGAAGCCTAGGGTCCACTCGTGTGCTGAGCGAGAGAAGTGCGAGGAGTGTAGAATGAATGAAACTCACGTTTGTAGCCTTTATTTATGAAAAATAAAATGTGAGCAAAAAGAAAAAGAAAAATGTTTGGTTAAAGTTAAATTATTCCAACTACTGAGAAAAAATACCTTCCTTATCTTATATATTTTTTTATAATAAATGTAATGCATATTTTTTTGCATATACAATAAAAATATTATAAATTAAAAGTACAATATTTTTTATATATATATGTATTTCCATTAAAAATGTATGATGAATGGTTTGGTTGTCACACAAAAATACAAAATTGGTATTACACGTTGTCAAGCTTATCCAAACAATGAATAAATATAAATATTAAATACATAGAAACGTGACAAGTCATAAGGGCATCTCCAATAAACCTAGGACACGTTTGTTTGGTATGATTAGATAGGATTACTCCATTAAACATGTGCTAATTCTTCGTTTGGTATGCAAGACTAAAGCCCGCAGATAAAGTTCGGCCCGAGATAAAAAAGCCATTAATCTTACATATTCACGACTATTTGATCCCATGGGAAAGGTGTGATAATTTTCATTCCTACAGTGCAACAGGTAGAAAATGTCCATTTAGTCCCATTACTGCTCCTTTGCGACGAGGAGGCCGCCGCCATGGAAGAGCAGCTGAAGCACGAGCAAGCCTGATGCTGCTTGTTTTCTTCATCAACTCCATTTCAATTTTCCTTTTCCAAAAAATAAAATAAAATAAGGAATCGCTTCCACGATCTCCACCTGCTCCAATCCAAAATTGTTTTCTACACACAGCCAGCGCTGCCACGATCTCCACCTATTCCCTTCACATAATCGCTCCTCCACGATGAGGAGGCCGCCGCCAAGGAAGAGCGAATATAGATCAAGCGTGAATAAGAGACTGTCACCAATACAGAGTTTGAGAGAGAGTGGCAATAGAAGCTTCTGATTAGTATTAAAAGGAAAATAAAAAAACAAAGAAAAAAAATAGAAAAAGAAGGTAGGATTCTCTCACAAGAGTTTGAGAGAAAGAGGACAATGGAGGTTTGGAGGTGGCGGTGGTGAGTGAATTCATGGAGAAAGAGAAAGGGCTTTTCTTTAATATTAAAATATTAAAGGGGTATAATTGACTTTGTAAGATTTATCTTGTGAATTATCCCTAGAAACAAATGCTATTGGAATTATAAAATTATCTTATCTAAATTACAATCATAAATAACAAACACAAGTTTAATTTAATCCACACAGTACAATCCACTCATTGCGTATTAATTTAGTCCAATCCCATCTAGAAAAATAAACGAGCTCCTAGTGAATTGTAGTCTATGTGGTGTTAAATAGAAGACTCTCCAATAAACCTAGTGAATTGTAGTCTACGTGGCGTTGTATAGAAGACTTTCTCTACACGTGAACTGAATGAACTAAATCACTCCCCAACGATAAATGTGTAAACAGTAACACGTATTTTTTTTTTTTCATGAAATCACAATATTAATATTTTCAACTTGCACCCTTCATCAATTTCATTCACGGTAATAAACATACAACCTTCATCAATTTCATTCACGGTAATAAACATACAACCTTTATTTATTATACGTACTATAAACGCCAGTGTTTATTTTTTTTTAGAGCATCTCCATAATTTTTCTTATTTTATTGTTGTATTAAATATGGTAATACATAATTTTGAAAAAATATATACCATTAAATTTATAATATAATTTTATAAATCTATCAATTTTTTTTCTTTTATTTTTCTTTATGTAAATTAATATGCTTTTTGATAAAGTGTGTACAAATAAATACCAACAAATTATAATTTAATCAACGACGTAGATTATAAATTGAAAGTTTTATTCACATTTAGTTATTGTTTTTGTAAATACTAGATAAATGTTTTAACAAATAAAATAATCATTAATAAATATTATTATATTGATTTAACTTTTATTTTTTGTTAATTGAATAATGATAATTTAAGTATATATAAAATAATATATATTTAAGACTTCTAGAAGTACTTTCACATGTAGAAAGACTTATAGAATAATTACATCCCTTTCATGTCACATCAGCACAAATGAAAGTAAAAAAAAATGACTGCTCGAGAAGTTTATTTATCGACTACTTCTACACTAGTTTTGCTATCGGGTGGCTCGACTTATGGAGCCATCGGGTGGCTCGACTTATGGAGCCATCCACACTTATTCACCAATAGTATATTGACACGTGTCCTACATTAATTTCAAGTTGGACAGGTGTCAATACATTAAGTGGTGGATGCCTCCATAAGAAAACCATCCGATGACTTCATAGAATTTTTGATTTCCACAATCCTACAATTCACAATCCATTGGAGATGCTCTAAGTGCTTTTACACAATGGCAACAAGCACGGGTTGGCCCGCCAACCAAATGGTTGGCCCTTTGTCCAGCAGCCCAAGCCTGTTAACTCTGGTATAAAAAAAAAAACTCTGGTATAAACTTGCAATATTTTTATTAATTGGGTACAATATAATATGAATAATATCAAAGTGAGTAATTTCTTTTTTCTTGTGTATTCGGATTGTTTATAGTGTTGTACTCTCATGCACTATTCATAGGATAGTACAACTATTTAGTATTGTTCACTATGTAGTATGTTGACGTACGAAAATTGATCAACATGGGGGGTTCAGAGGAATTTTTGTATATTTATTTGAATTGGATTTTTTGTGTATATTTCATAAATGAATCCAGGAAAAATTGAAAGAAAATCACGAATCTCCATCACTGTTGTGTTTTCTTCGGAAGAAGGAAAAATGAAAGTTCAGACAGAAAAAGGAAAAGTGTAGCCCCTCAGACTCATCTGTCCCTCATGTCCATCATCGGGGATATATATATATATATATATATATATATATATATATATATATATATATATATTCGTCTAATGGGCCCTTTATATGTTGGGCCTTTACAATATTTGACAAAGACAAATGTAATAAATCAAATGTGACCGCGTAGGGCACAACAATAATAAATAAATAATGGAATAAATAATGACTTTGACTAATATTTGTCTTGTCGGTAATTATTGTATCTGTCGAGGCGGCTTCTTTATGATATCCGGGTCGGACTGATAACGTTGAATTTTACTTGGCACGAATACAGACAATCTTGACTTTTGGGGACTTATTTAATATTAATAAATATATCGAATAATATGCTATTTTTATATTTATTTAATATATATATCCATGTGTAATATTTTAACATGCGTAGACAAAATTTAATGTCAACAGAGAGGCCCCTGACTTTAGGACATGTTCAGAATAGAACTGTTCTGAAGTCACACGTGTATCGAATTTTAGCTGCGATAAATGATGTGTGGATTTTGGTCGGGTGCTTTGGGACCCTTGGAGCCAAATTGCTGATCGTGTTCAGGCTTTGTCCTGATGTACTGATGTCGATTGTGTTTTTATTCTGATAAATTGAGTCAACAACGTGGATAGTCAACTCTTTTTGAAATTGCTCTATGAATGGGGCCTGAATGGCCTAATTTGGGGTAATTTGGTACCTGTCTTTCACATTTTTGTTTGTAATGTGCAGCGGCGGATGGATTTGCTCATGTAATGGTAATACTGATATGGATTTGCGTGGGTACTCGGGCCCCCAGAATTGTTTGTTGTATTCGCGATTTCGTCGTACTGATATGCGGACCTGATCGGATAATTTGGTATCCGGTCTTAGGTAGGGATGGCAATGGGCCAGGTCGGGCCGGGTAGTTCCATGCCCGGACCTGGCCCGCGACCTTACAGCCATGGCCCGACCTGGCCCGTGACCCGCTACGGGTCCACCAAGACGGGCCCGAGGCCTGGCCCGTGTCGGGGCGGGCCGACCCGCCCTGCCCCATTTTTTTTTTTTANCAAACAGTCACAAACATCAATTTCCGAATGTGAACAAAAAATAAAACTCTATACAAAATAGATATTACAAAAATCAAGTAAATCAAACCCCAATATCCTAAATATTTATAACCTTAAAATGGATATACCCATCTCGAATATAGATGACAAGAGCAAGGGCGTCTTGTTGGACAGCAAGGGCATTTTCTATGGAAGCCTGCTTGGGGTCATCCCGCAACCACCGTGACCCACTGCCGCAACTCGAGATTTCAGATGGTGCCCTAGATCTGCGAGGTGTGTGACATAGAGGAGAAAAGGAGAAAACAAATTTTGAGAAGGTGAACCTGTACTTAGATTTTTTGCAAGGACAATTAATGTAGAATGAAAAAAGAGAAGAAGAAAAGATTTGACAGAGAGAAGGAGACAAAGGGGAAAAGAAAAGGAGAGATGGGAAAAAGAAAGAGTCGGTAGAGAATATCGAAATGAGAAAAAAATGAGAGAAGGTTAAAGTGAAACTAAAAAGAGATAAAAATGTTTGACCTCCTAAATACCTTATTTGACCACTATTATTGGTTGGGGCGGGGCGGGGCGGATATTAATACCCGGACCTGGCCCGTAAAGTGACGGGGCAGACCCGACCTGGCCCGTTTTGGGTAATGGGGTGGGTCCAACTCGCCCCAAAGGCTGCAGGCCGGGCCAGTTCGGGTCGGGTCCAGGCCAAATTGCCATCCCTAGTCTTAGGTCGTTTAGTTTTATTTAGTTATTTATTGGTCGGATAATGTGTTTCCGATCTTTGATGTTATATGCAGGGCATCATCCTTGCCAAACCGATTTCAGGGTTTGGAAAAGAATGGTCTTGTTTATATTTTGCGCTTGACTTGTTATGTTTATGTCAAGATGCATTTATGACGCGTGTATGAATGTATGTATGAACGTATGAATATTAAATGAGTGCGTGCAGTAAATGAGTAATGCACGAGAGAAGATATAATGAATACGTGCGGTAGATAGGTAATGCACGAGAGAAGATATAACCTCGATATTTTGTCGAGTCTGAGTTCCTTTTTGAGTCTGATGTCACGCCCTGGATAGTCGGCGTTATTTGTGTCTGCCCAAATCAGTGTTGGACCTGCATTATTAAGAGATGTTTATATAATAAATACCGAGACTCTTTTTTTGCTCGGACCGAGACTCTTTTCTTGCTCGGATTTTTATTTAATAAGATACCGAGTACTCTTTTCTGGCTCGGACCGAGGCTCTTTTCTTGCTTGGATTTTTATTATATGAGATACTGAGTATTCTTTTCTGGCTCGGACCGAGGCTCTTTTCTTGCTCGGATTTTTATTATATGAGATACTGAGTATTCTTTTCTGGCTCGGACCGATGCTCTTTTCTTGCTCGAATTTTTGATTTTGCACCGGAGCAGAGGCTCGACGGCAGGAAAATGTGAACGTCGGCTCAGCCGGAGACGAGGCTCAACGGCGAGAAAATGTGGACGTCGGCTCAGCCGGAGTCGAGGCTCAACGACGAGAAAATGTATGGACGCCGCAAATAAATGACTTCGATGCTAGCGTAAATAAGTGAGTTAAGCCCCAGCATCAGTAAATAAAAATTCGGCCCCAACATTGATAAATGAGGTCGGAGTCGATCGAATGAGAAATGAATTTGGACCTGATAACGGGATTGGACTCTTAGTGTGGAAATGTATAGCTCGGTAATGACGTCAGCTGATTTTGAATAATTTTCTGCGCGCAGCTTTCGGCATATTGAGCGGCAATGTGTACATCTTGATTGGGGTTGATCACCTTCAGTTTAGCCCGCGAGTAGTTGTCGGTAGGGTGGATTGATTCGTATGTCAGAGTAGTCAGTTTGGTTGTGAGTTGGGAGATCCGTTGCAGATAGATAAATGACTTCGGATTTGGCGTAGATAAATGAATCTGGCCCCAGCGTAGATAAGTGAACTCGGCACCAACATTAATAAATGAGGGCGGTTGATACTTCAACTGATTTTGAATAATTTTCCGCTCCCAGCTTTCGGCAACTAAAATGAGTAGTGCTCAATCAAGTGTTTTCTTGGCCTTCAATTTTGATCTTGACCCTTGCTGGGCCAACTTTTAATTTTGTCAGTAGCCCAAAACTATTCTGGCTCAAAATATTTTATTAGTACCCGTCCATATCATTTATCACATCCTTCTCTCTTGTAAAATCCGAAAAATTCTTCAGATCTGTTAACATAGATGACGATTTGGCCAAGTTTTTGACGTTGAAGTCGGAGAGGTATGGTCGGCCATCTTTGAGGTTGATGTCGCCGATATGGATCGTTAAATTTGGGGTCGTCCATCACAATTTCGCCTCTCGGTGCCACAATTTTGAGATCGTGAACTCGGTTTGTTCTATGGGAAATCCGGCTGCGATAAACATCACTAGATTGTCCATCGGCGTCTACTCTCCAATTTTTGCCATAGTGAGGGTGGTATATCGTTTGGAAATTTTGCAGAATAATCATTTTGATAGGGTATTTTTCTTGAGTTTGTGAATATGAAATGACGATCTCGACGAGTAAAGCGACCTCTCATATTTCTTAAAAAAAGTTAAAGGTTGTCGTGTCACATATAAAAATATAAAAATGGAAATAATTTTCAATTTAGCAAAGTCGGTCACAGTGATCGGCTTTTCCGTATAATGACGAAATATCAGGTTTTTTTTTTTAGTTATGAGATAATTTTCAAAATCGACTAACTTATAGAAGCAAACCTCGATTAAATGCTAGTTACAAGATTAAATCCTAATTTTTTCTAATAATCGTGATATTTTTCAATCAATATCGTGCTTGTATTTAGTAGGACACGTAGCTAATAGCCTAATACCTACTCTTCCAATCGATAATAAAATTAATAATAATCATCATAATTCCTTCTCTCACCCGTTGTTAGTGTCAGAGATGGAAAATAAACCACCCTCAGCGCCTGATTCAACTTCCCTTCCTCCGCATACAGCTGCAGCTCCCGGCAGTGAAGAACACATCAGGCTATCGCCGCCGCTGGGCTCGCCGGATAACTCACCGGAGGATTCTCAATCCTCCCCGCTCCACTCCAAAATGGACAGTGGGGGACATATTTCGATGTCTCCCTCGACGGTGGGGTCTCCCTGTAACTCGCCGGCTCGCTCTTCGCTTGCCTCCGATCATTCCAACATCAATCGCATCCCAGAGAACAGAAATCTTTATTCTCCGGAGAATAAGCCTCCGCCGCCTGCCGCGCTGGTGAAGAGAGATGTGTTCAACGAGCCTATGGAGAGCAGGGTTGTACTGGAGGAGCCTATGGCAGAGATGGAAAGGGCTGTTTTGGAGCAGCATAAGGCCGCGGCCAAGATCGATTCAGGTCCTACGACGGTTGCAGGCGGCGGCGGCGGGGAGAGTGGACACCGGGGGTATAGACCTTCTCTATCGATATTGAGGGGAGCTAAAAGAGAGAAGATGGTGAAGAAAGCTGCGCTGGGGTTCAGGATTTTTGGATTCCTCTTTTGCTTGGTCTCGTTCTCAGTTATGGCAGCCGATAGAAACCAAGGGTGGGCTCTTGATTCATTTGATCGCTACAGAGAATTTCGGTATATAAATGATTATCTCGTGTTTAAATTCACGATTCATTGTTATTGGGATTGAAATGAGTCAAAAAAACAATTGAGATTTGGAAAAAAGGAATCATATTCAGTATCTCTACCCTCTGGAATACATTGTGTTTAGTCCTTTCACTTCTCAAACTGGGTTTGTTTTTTTCTGCAGGTACTGTATGTCTGTTAATGTAATTGGATTTGTTTACTCAGCTGCTCAAGCTTTTGATATGTCATATAATTTGGGAACTGGAAAGTATGTTTTGCATCATCAACAGCAGCTCCGATTTTACTTCGATTTTGGAGCTGATCAGGCAAGTTGTTACATATCTGTGTTACAATGATTTTGCTTTGGTCTTCCTGCATTACTTATGAAACATACCTCTTCTTGTTTTGATTTTATACTCATCTGCTTCTTTCTTGTGATAATTTGTGGATTGAACAGTGGGGCCATATTTTAATCAGTTGTTAGTTCAACCTTTATTGTGTTGTTTGTATGGTATGGTAATAGACTAGTAGTCATCAAGTGCTCTGAATCATTATAGTTGGAAACAAAAACAATTCAACAGAAGGGCTGATTATTGCAACTCAACTATACTTATGGACTCTAGATCACAACAATCACTTTATGTATGGTTCGGTTTAGCAATAAGATAACGAGACAATTAGAGTTATGGAGTTGACGTTGGATGATTTAACTGTTGAATGTTCATATTGGCTGAGGATATTCTCCAATTAAATTCATCTGTTGGTCTTGCATAGAATTTAGAAAGCTAGTATTCTGGTGATGTGGGCGGCCTCATTTTGGTTATCAGATAAATGCTAGGGAAGGGAACACTATCAAAGGGCCGCTGTTTCTAGAATTACCTTTTTGCCAAATTCTGTTTTTGTTTCTTTTTTTTCTTCCCTGATGAATTTTTCTCTTTGCCAGTACGTTCGAAAGTAGAATTACTCAGGTAGTACTCAGATTGTTGCTTTAAACAATTTCTTAGTCACTTGTGATTTTGTACCTCATGAAAGATGAAATAGAAATGATATGAAGTAGATAATTCATCCACTACCCATGTTTATACTCAATGCTCATTTCAAGTCATCGATAACTCTTCTGATACCATTTTCTTCTTCATTTTCCCTTATGGGATTTCTGCTTAATTGATCACTTTATATTGGAGGCTAGACATTGCGGATGAATTTGAACTTTTATCCAAGTAGCAAGGGTTTTAGTTCTTGATTCCTAGTTGCAAGAAAACACACTATGCACTCTGCAGTGAATGCAATTTAAATTCAAACCAACTCACATGGAAATTTGCATGACTTTACTAAATATGGTGTGTTCATTTATGGTGACAGATAATAGCTTATCTTCTAATATCGGCATCTTCATCGGCTGCCATTCGTGTCGAGGACTGGCAATCCAATTGGGGAAAGGACAAGTTTCCGGATCTGGCAACTGCTTCAATATCGATGTCTTTTCTTGCTTTTGTTGCCTTAGCCATTAATTCACTCATATCTGGTTATGCTCTTTGCACGTCCAAATCTTTGTAGTTTCAACTACTGTTTGCCTGGTTTCACTCTAGAAATTGTGATAAGTTTGTGTACAGCTTAAAACTTTATCATTCACGAGAGTTGTACCATTTGTTGTATGTAGAATATCGATAGTCTGGTGTTGAAGTATTGTTGTAATATGTCATGTTTCAAAATTCACACAGTGAGTTATACACACTCATCAAGTGAGAAACCTCAGTTTTCACACTCTTAGTAGATATTGATTTTGGAGTTTTTTTTTCCTCTCCCTTTTAAAGCCAATTTAATAATTGAAACACTATTATCTTTTGAGCGATTATTGGGGTCTTTGTCGAGTTTTTTATGAGCCATGCCAAAAAGGTCAAAAAGGCGAACGAGACTTGTTTGGATTTTGCAGCTTTCCATCGTATAATATAAATGGAAATCACAAAAATCAAAGTCTAGATGTACAATTATTTTTCATGTTATCTACTTAGTTACTTAAATTAACTAATGTATCAATGTGAAACTTTGACCTACAGGCTTCAATACAACTATTGCTCACGCAAGCAGCAGCTAGTAAGCCTAGTATATATTCTTCTTCTCTCTTTTTTTATATAGAATAGTTTATTAATGTATTTTTTTGTAAATAATTGAATTTGTAAAAAAAAAAATTAGAGAACATGTAAAAGGGTATGCATTACACCAGTCTGGCCTAGTCGTATGATAAGCTCCAATCAGCTTAAATTGCTCAATAGCCCAATATGTAAGCCCATTTCATAGGGTATTATCCTAGTACATTATCCAAGCCCATCACTTGTTTTGGGTTCACAAAATGAAAAGAGAGTACGCTAGTCATCGCTCATCAGCTCAGAACTCCGAAGCACTTTTTCACACTCCTTTTCGACATGAAAAGCTGTTTCACTTTCGCTCCGCTCGCCACTTTCTTTTCCCGCCTTTTCTGTTCGTAACACGATTAACTCTACCAATTTCAGGGCTGAAACTCTCCTTTACTGTTCAATTGTTCTCCAACAATAGCGCTCGAATTGCATTTTTATGGTGCCATTTGTTCTGAATATCAATTAAACTTCGACTTGGGCGGTTCATACACATAAGACATCGGCATCCACCTTGCCAGTCTTCTATTTCTCGTTTTTTTTTTTTTTTTTTTCTTGATTATATCAAGTTTAAAATTCATATGCTGATCGGATTGATTTGTGTGCTTCCTCGTTTTTGTTTGTCTGTATGATCGAAAATTTAAGTCGAGTTTCTGTTTATGATGTTTGATGTGCATAAATTTAAACTCGATCCTCAATATGTGCGCATTCGGAGGTATTCGTGCTTCTAATATGCTTGTTGGTATTTAGGAAAACTGGAACTAACCTCGGTAGCTAAAAACCAGTGAAGATGTGCTTTATTATGGAGATGGTCGTCCTGGGTTCTATTGTTACAGGTGAGGCTCTGTAGATCTTAGTTATTTTTCCCGGTTTTTCTTAATTTTAGTTACTTTTATCATTATTTTGCTTCCTGATGGACGTAAATGATGGGGAGTTTGATATGTTACCACAAGTACATATGGATCTAACTTAGGTAGTGCAAAGCACTACATACGTAGTTTAGGAGTACGTGCACTGTGACTGAAGAAGATTATAGAATGCTATTTCCAAATATAGTGTAAGTTAAGCTTCTGTTCGTTAGGTAATTTGCATTATGAAGCAGAAAGAATATTGACTTGTGATGTTTTGTCATACTTTAGGACATGCATGCCACAAATAGGAAGCCAGGAAGAAAACAATATAGAAGGCCACATACATAACATGCGGAGTTTATCTGTGGTGTCCGACTTTTGGCGGAAGGATATAGTGAAAGAATTTATCAAAAGATGTGATATTATGAAATCATTTAATTCTGACACAAGCCATAACTTCTGTGTGCATCTAGAGAAAGTAATTTGTAAACCACTTTGTATATTGAAATATATCTTAAAGTATGAGGGAGAAAACAAAAAGTCAAATTGGGTGTTGTTGATGTTAGTGAAAAAATATCACTAAACAAAATAGCATTGTCATTATTGAAATTCATTTTAGTACACATAATATGTCATTTCAAAAGTAATCTAGAGTGCCGTAGCGAGTACAGAAACCATAATCTAGTAGGTGGCATATATTTTCCTTTCACGCTTCTTTAAATGCTGGCAATTAGACTACATCGCGCAATAAGAACTTGTTGGTATCTTTATTTGGAATCCAAGCACCAGCAGTAATAATCACACCTTGATATTTCCAACATCTGTTGTGGAGTCATTCTCTCAAGCTCACTTTGCCTCCTTGATGCTAAATTATTCCGGTTCTCCAGGTCTGAAGCTGTAGGATAATCACCCTTGTTATGAACTTGTGATCTCATTTTCTTGTATAGCCTCATTGCCGCAGCGCAGTCTTCATACGGATCTTGTATGCCGGTTTGAATGTCATATCTGTATGTACAGAATATTTATATCAGGATAATTTTTGAAGTTATTTAAATTATAGGGTAAATGTTGTTGTGCAGGACAGTGACTATCAGTGGTCAACGACTCATCTTATAGTTGAGCAAGAAAAATGAGCAAAAACTTCTTACCCAAGGTAAGCCTTTGTTAAATATTTCATTGAGTTGCTGAGCTTGCTTGTTTTCATCAATGGAGGATATTTTGCCATATCCCTGCACAAAGAGTTGCTAGATCAGTAAGACAATGGGAACTCTTTCATGCAAGATACCATTTGATTTCTGTTTTCTATTTCTTGTTAAGTATGTAAGCAAATAAGATTAAGTCTTTCTCCAGAACCGCTGCAAATAATTATTATGTACAACAAATTGGTTCAGCTGCAAGGCTTACCTGATCATTATATCTGGGTACTCCACTTCCAGGCATTTCAAATCATGATCCAATCCGTGGCCCACTAGGATTCTAGCTTTTCCGCCCCTGGAACGAATCTGCCATATGGGTTCACCATTGCATAAGTAGTCTTGAATCTTTCGAGCCACCTGCCTTAGTGGCATGGCATCCCTTAGAAATTCCGGTCGTATACCTGTTGTCTCGTACCTAAAAACATCTTGCAACTCTAAATTCTAGTTTTTTGGAGTCTACTGTATCAACATCCTGGATAATGTTTTTTCTAGAAGAAAATCGTTACCTATAGTTTGTGACAGGAAGGGGTGGTTTGATATATGCTTCAAAGATTATTTTCTCATGCTCGTCTATGAGGCATACTCTCGCACATAAATCCAAGGATCCGTCACTGCCACCTCCGACCTTCTTGCAAGCAAGCGAAATCACTTTTCCTCTGCTATTATCAATCCTCATCTCGTCTTGAATGCCCAAGTTAGCCATCCGGTGGATCAAGCCCTAAATCCAGTCAAGAATTATGAGTTCGTATAAATTATATGGATTTTATGCACGGAGGGTGGATTTGAAGTAAAGTATTTCGTTTCAAAAGTTGGTTGCTTTTTTATCATTTTACATTGTTTCCACGTGAGAATTGGCATCTTCCTCTGTGAGCCTGAAGAGCATAGCGGCTAGAGAAAATGGTTAAACAGAGGTCGCACCCTCTTTCCTTGAATATTCTTTCGCATTCTGCTTTGGGCAGAGGTCCTGGCAAAGGAAATCAGCATATATTAGAATAAAACCCCTTTAAATAAGGATATCATATTTCTGTTTTTCAGGTTATTGAAGAAAACCTATGACATGTTCCCTCAGAGATTCAAAGGATCTGAAATGCTTCTGGCAAATTCCGCAAACAGGTTCGTGATTCGAATGGTAGGAAGCCTTCATATGTTCAACAAGATGCTCCATTTTGTTGTACTGTCTGTAGCATGCAGCACACTTGTTCCTGACCCTCAAAATAATTAGACATTTAGTACTCATTATTTACTAAAGCAAAGATGATTTATTTAATGTATCAATTGCATATATGAAGGGTTCTTCTCATTGCATGAAATAATTAAAATGTTTACCTTTGGTTTTCGGATGACTCATGTCTGCCGTCCATGTTTAATTGATCGTGTGTTTGCTGAACTCAAGTGTAACTTCAGATGAGTGGTTGGAGAACTTGGGGAGGAATGAGACTTTCATGGGTATTTATATTTGCTGCTTGGGATGCTTCTT